CAATCCACTCACCTCAGCCTCCCAAAGGCGAGGGATTACAGGCTGAGCCACTGAGCCCGGTTTGAAACAAACTTTCTCAAGAAAATATACATACAGAATTTATGATTAGCAATATCTAGCCTATTACAATATACAACTCTTCCATATCTTAATTCTTAAATATGTACTCTTTAAACACTTGTCATACAAACGCAATACAAAGACAAGTAGAAGAAAAACTAAACTGTGGGACTTGCAGTTTTTAATTATTATATAATACGTAAGGAAGCCATATAAAATAGAACTGATTATCCACTGTGGCTTACAAAAATTAGTCCCATTACTTTATTCCAGATATTTAACCACTACAACTTTTCTTTTATACCACATCTTCCTTCTAAAGAGCATCAAGGGCTTTCACAGATATCATCTAACCTGTTTGAGGTTATTAGCATCTGTACATCCCATGTAAAAAACTTCGGACAGTGAAATTTAAAAAGCTGCCCCAAGTAAAACATCAGTAACAGTGAGCAAGCTAAAGGCAGACACCATCTCTAACCCATATCTGAAGCATCCCATTTTCCTACCCTATGCCTAGACAATTACCACGAAATCATAAACAATAAATGCTAGCTGAATTTTTAAAATAGAGCTCAAGTTTAAGGCAAAATCCTAATCTAAGTTTTGTTCTTTTTAAATTGTGTTAGTTCCAAAGCCTAATAAGAAAAGAGTTAAAAATTAGGAGATCAAGTAAGACTGTTCATTATACTATTCAGTAGCCAAGGAAATAAAAACAGTCTCTATATGGTCAATCACAGAATTTAATAAATTAAGGTACCCACAGAAAACATAAGACCCAATACTACTAAAGGACTTCTAAATATTACTAAATGTTAACGTAGGCAACAAAAACAGCATCACTAAAATAAAGTCAGTGTATATTATAAATACACTATACAGTCTTTTCCCAACCAACATGACAGAACCATAACTAGTTATTTATTTATATCTACCTCATACAAAAGCAAAATAGCAATCACCCGGCATTTTCATTTGCATAAAACTGTTGCGCAGAGATCTCAGTATTATAGTTACTCTCTTAAAATTAAAAAAATATAGAAAAATGGCAGGAAGAATAAAATCATCTAATTGTCTATCAAAAAGAAAATAATGAAGGAAGAGCTACACATTTGAAAATGTGATGGAATTAATACTTTCAATTATCTCTATAAGCTTGTTCACTTGGTAAGACCCAAAAGTGCTCAGAGAAAGCAAAGACTAGAAGAACCATACTCCCTTAGAAAAGGATTCAGAAAATACCAACTGGCCATTTAAAGCTCAAACAGGCCATCTCCTCTGTGTGCCCAACTGGAGGGGAAACAGTCAAAATAAATAAATAAATAAATTTCAAGCCAAATGAGGAAAATAAAAAACTGATGAGAAGAACTATTTTTTTATTAAAAAAATATAAAATCTTCCAAGTAAAAAAAGTGATGAAACTCTGCTTAGCTTCTTAAACTACAACAGCCATTTCAGTCTCCACTGCAATATTCATGAACCCTACCCTGAGCACAGCTACGCAAATGTGGCAACTAAGCCACATTTTATAGGGGTGTTACTAGATGTACAACAGCCACTTGCTATAGAACAGACCCAGTCAGCAGTACAGAAGTTCACAGCTTCAGCAAAGTTGTAGCCCTGGTTAAATCCAGAGTGGTAAGCACGAGGAAATGTCACAACAAACTCGCCAGCACACTGATTGGTCCTGTACACCTAAGTGCAAATTGGGAACAGGGATACAAAACAAAACAAAAACAAAAAAAGGAGACAGATTTTATCAGTCAGATAGCTGCAGAAGCATTTTGAAAAATGAAAACAATAAAGCATTAACTCACACATACCAGAAAACAATATCAGGATTTAAGAAGTAACCAGAATTATACAGTCTTAAAATAGTCACTCATAACAAATTATAATTCAGGACAAGAATTAGTAGCCAAAAGAAATTCTCAAAGAGAAAATGTCGCTCTCACTGAACTACTAGATCCTCAATTGATAACATTTTTACAATTAAAATAATTATTTTTTTTTGGCCCGGCATGGTGGCTCACACCTGTAATCCCAGCACTTTGGGAGGCCGAGACAAGATGACTACCTGAACCCAGGGTTTCAAGAATAGCCTGGGCAACTTGGCAAGACCTCATCTCTACGATAAATCATAAAAATTAGCCGGGCATGGTGGCATGAGACTGTAGTCCCAGCTACTTGGAAGGCTGAGGCAGAAGGATCACCTGAGCCCAGGAGATCGAGGCTGTGGTGGCTGTGAGCACACAAAAGTACTCCAACCTGGGTGACAGAGTGAGACTCTGACTCAAAAACAAAAGGTAATTTTTTTGTAATTCTTGTGTTGTAAATAATGAAATTTCCTACTACTTTTGGATACTTTTTTTAGAAACTAAATTGATGAGCTCATACATCATTTGAGTTATTCACAATAAGATGTCCCCAAATCAGTTTACCTGAATCTTACTTTGTCTTAAAATACTACATGTAAAGATAAAGTAATACTATAAATGTTACTCAATCTTCTTTCTCATTAAGGTTATGATGAATATTTGAAGCAAACGTATTAAATGTATATTTTATCAGGTGTTAGTAGCTTAAATTTAAGGATCATCTTCAAAATTAAGTTGAAAGTATAGAAGATATTTGTAGTATATTCTTACCTCATTATTTCATGTACTAAAAACCATGAAATATGTATCTGTTTGTTTGTTTATTATTTCTGAGGCAAGGTCTCACTCTGTTGCCTAGGCCTGTCTCAAACTCCTGGGCTCAAGCTATCCTCCCATCATGGCCTCCCAAAGTGCTGGGATTACAGACGTGAACCACCATGCCCAACTAAAAGCTATGAAATTTTTTTTTGGGGGGTTGGAGTCTCACTCTGTCACCCAGGCTCGAGTGCAGTGGCCGTTCCCAGCCACCGCAACCTCGACCTCCTGGGCTCCAGTGATTCTTCCGCCTCAGCCTTCCAAGTAGCTGGAACCACAGGCACACACTACCACACCCAGCTAATTTTTTTATTTACTGTAGAGATGAGGTCTCATTAAGTTGCCCAGGGAGGTCTCGAACCCACAGACTCAGGCAATCCACTCACCTCAGCCTCCCAAGGCGCGGCTATGAAATCTTTACATGAAAAAATAAGAATATGCATTATTTACTAGGGCTACCACTGCAATTACCTCTACCTTGGTAAAATGGGAATAACAAAGAAGATGAGACTTTTGCTCAAAGCAGGATATGTTTGCTAAAAACTGAAGGTTATCTGAATAGACAGGTAAACATCATGTATGATTCATACATTAAAACATCTCTTCTTCATCCGTTAAAAGCTGTTCCCTTCAGGGTATAAATTCTAATTTGGCTAGAAGATGACATGACTTTTCACTTCCAGTTATAAAACAAGGCATATGTTGTGATTCTAACCAATCAAAAGGTAAAATAACTTTAAGTTACAAATACGGAAGGAAGACACGGAAAGACTCACAGGCACACCATGCTCCATTAGCACGTTGGGGTTCATGATGGTGACCAACTGATGCAGAAGATCAGGCTGAGACTCAAACAACTCAGGGGCCAGTTCCCTCATCACCTCCTCCAGTTGTTCTGCAGCATGAGACGGCACACCATACCACGTCTTTGGCTCCCCCCTAGCAAGACAAATCACTGGTTAGTCAGGCAGAACATGGGACCAAGGAGGCCAGGGGTCTCTGATTCAAACCTACTAACTTCATACTTTACTTTGTCCTATTCCATGACCACAGACTGTCTGCCCTGAATCCTGGCACTCATCTCATAAACCTGTGCTACTGTTTCTAAAAAGAGGTAAATAAAAAGTAAACATACAGGTAGATATATATTTATCACTACTCTTGGAAAAGCAACTCAGCACATAAACTCTTTAAGGCAGATCAGCAACTCAAACAGGTAAGATACCTTCAAACAGGGAAGATGTTTGTGCAGTGGCTCAAACCTGTAATTCTAGCACTTTGGGAGGCCGAGGTGAGAGGATTGCCTGAACCCACGGGTTTGAGACCAGCCTGGGCAACTTGGCGATACCTCATCTCTACAATAAATCAAAAAATGAGCCAGGTGTAGTAGCGCATGCCTGTAATTCCTGCTACTTGGAAGGCTGAGGCAGAAGTATCCCCTGAGCCCAAGAGGTCGACTCTGGGGTGGCCGTTGAGTGTGCCACTGCACTCCAGCCTGGGTGATGGAGTAAGACTCCAACTCAACAAAAAAGAAAAAAGAAAAAAAGAAAAGCACTGTTTCAAACAATACTGACACACAACCTTGATTCACAGGGCCACGGGACATACCGATTATCCCCATAATGATCAAGTTAAGTCAATGCTCTCTGGAATACCCCTAAACAACTTTAGTGAGTTCAATTTTACTATCCAAGGAAATAAATCAAGGATAAAAATTAATGAAACCCTGAATAAAGTTCTGTCTATAAACCTTAAGAATCAAAAGCTCAGTATCATTAATCCATTAGACTTTAGACAACTAGAGTTCATTTAGAATACTAACATGTACTCCAATGAAATGGATTTAATTAGCCAAGGTATTTATAGAATAGTTGTATTTCATACCATTCACAATATTATGGAGCGGTGCTGGCCCCAGTAGAAATTAACTACAATAATTAAAAATGTTCTTTATCTGTGCTGGCCAATACAATGGCCCCTGGTCACATATGACTACAGAGCACTTGAAATGTGGCAAGTGCAACTGAGGAAGTAAATTTTTAATTGTATTTACTCTTAACTAATTTAAACTTAAATAGCCACATGTGGCTAGCAGCTACTCTACTATACATCATAGCAACAAAGCAGAGTAAGAAAAATAACTTGAGCTTTCTACTGCATACTATGATCTGAGTAATGTTTTCTAACAGGAAAGAAAATTATCATCTGGGCAAGGAACTGGTTAAATAAATAAAAGCAGTGGGTGATACAAATATTCAGCAAAGAATTTAATGACTGCATGTGTAATGTAGGCCTTTTTAGAGAATATCTTATTAAGAAGAAAAAAATCAATTGAAAATTTCAAATGCTGAAGGTTAGTCAGATCTTAATTATGTAAACTTCAAACATCCTGTCTTTCATATCAAAAGACATACAGTAGTCTCCCCTTATCTGGGTTCTGCTTCCCACAGTTTCAGATACCTGTGGTCAATCACAGGTGAGTACAGCAGATATTTTGAAAGAGACAATATTCACATAACCTTTATTACAGTATATTGTTATAACTATTCTAGTTTATTATTAGTTATTGTTAGTTTCTTACTGTGCCTAATTCATAGATTAAACTTTATCATAAGTATATATGAATAGGACAAATATATATATAAGGTTTGGTATTATCTGGAGTTTCACATATCCATTGGTGGTCTTGGAACTTATCCTTTGCAGATAAGGGGGACTACTACACCAAAACATTTTCATGTATACTAAAGAAGCATCTTTTGGTCTAAAATTCTAGGCTCTGCTACTTGCACATACTTTAAAAGGGAAGGTGTCCTGAGAATCCCATCTTCTCCTTCCAATGTATTATCCTACTTTTGAGTAGGAAATACTTTTAAAGTCAGCTCTCCCTAATATATCACCTATTATTATTACATCTTAAGAATGTTCACTACGCATGCATGCTGTAGTGGAAGATCATATGTACCAGTGTAAGTAGTTGATGGAATAACTCCAGTGATCTTCAATGTGCCAGCAAAAAGAAGAGAAACACATTCCCACATAAAGCCATGGCACCTTCATACCAGAGATGTCCACATTAATATGTGCAAGAACAGACTGCTCCAGGACAGGCATATTGTTCAAATTCCAACCAGAAAGTGCATATTCCTATAATGGAAAAAAATTGCAAAGGAAAGATCAGAAATGATCAGTGCGCAACAGAAATGTCAAAGGAGCCTACAAAAAAAGTAAAACATTTTATAATATTTACAATAATCTAGTCCATATAATCTGAACTCTTTGTTCTCGGCTATGTAACTCATATAACTATTTAATCCTACTTCTTGTCTAGGTTTTGTGCAGTGTCCTTTATTTTATTTTATTTTATTTTATTTTTTTGAGTTGGAGTCTCACTCTGTCACCCAG